GGCAAGAGAGATGGCTCATGTTCCTGTCACCCTGAGATGGGCCGGCCCTCCTCAAAGCTCCACCGCAGCTCCAGGGCACGGGAGCCGAGTGGCAAATGGCACTCCCAGCCCATTCTCAAGCAGCTTTTCATCCCTCACTTTTTTTGTTTTTTTGTTCTTTTGAGACAGGGTCTTGCTATGTAGTGCAGCCTGGCCTTGAACTCACTATGTAGCCAGGCTGGCCACAAGTTCACAGAAATCCTCCTGCCTCAGCCTCCATGGAATTTTTGTGCAATGCATCACCCACTTGTGGAACATTTTCGTCTTCCCAAACAGAAACTGCACCCAGGAATATTCATCCCCCACCCCCTTCCCAGGCCCAGCAGCCACCATCCTCCTGCCTGGCTCTGTGAACTTCACAGAAGTGAAATCCTACAGTCTTTGTCTTTCTAGGATGGGCTCATCTCACCTAGCAAAAGGCCTTCAGGGATTTCTATTCTTTCTAAAATTGAACTGGGTGTGGTAATCCTGGCCCAGGAGGCTGAGGCAGGAGGATCACTTGGCATTCGAGGCCACCCTGAGCTACATAGTGAAACCCTGTTTCAAGAAAAGAGAAAAAAAAAAAGTTGAGCAACAATCCGCCGTGTTCAGCTAGCTCACTGCGCTCCTCCACTGGGCGGTGGGTGCCCGGGCTGCTTGCACCTGTGCTGCCACAAACAAGCAGTGTAAACCGCCGCACAACCCTCACCATCCCCGCTTCAGCTCCTTCGGCTGGACATCCGTGTGGCCTGGTGAGCAGGCTGTGCTGTGTGCGCTGAGGACTCCCGGCCTGTTTCCCCCAGAGCCGTGTCCTCTCCCTCTCCACCAGCAGCGAACAGGGCTCCACACTGCCTGTGCCCATGTTCACGTGTCATTTTCTGTTTGCTGGTTTAGTTTTCTTGGAGACCAGTCTCACTAAGCTGCTCCGGCTCAGCCACAGACTCTGGACCCTCCTGCTTCAGCCTCTGCAAGAGCTGGGCTTGCCGGCAGGGGACACTGGGCAGGGGCTGGGTCTTGTTTTTTGAAGCAGCTGTGCTACAGATCAGGCGCGAGGTGCTGCTGCTTGGTGGGTTTGGCTTGGGTTGGCCACAGTTGCAGGGGTGTGTCCCTGTGCTTCTGGGCCACTGGCTGTCCCCTCGGGTGTGGTGACAGTTCGGATCTCTGTCTTCTTTCAGCCGGGCACTTGCTGGAGAGCAACGCTCGCTCCTCCACCCACCACTTGCATGGTGACCACGCCATCCTCACCAGGGCCCGAGGCTGGGGACCAGGCGCGATCTTGGGAAACGCGCCTTGGAGAGACACCACTAATGACCGGTTCCGAGGCGGTGAGTCGGGCGCTGTCACTGCGGATGCTCAGGAGGTGACTGTGCCTTGTTTGTCTCCTTGTTGTGCTGCACCGGTCCGGCGCTTCTGGCTTCATTCTTCCCGCATGAGGAAGGCACTCACACCGTCACCTGTCACACGGTGATGTTTCAATCTGCAGTCGCCCTACACATGGAGACCCTATCTCCTGGCGAGGCGCGGCCTCCGGAGTCTGTGTAGCTGGCCTCCATGTGCGGCCCTGATGAGGTCGCCACCTGCGCGTGCAGCAGCCACTGTGCCTATCCTCTGAAGCCTGTCCCTTGGGGACTCCTCGGGATAATAAAGTCATTTCCTCAAAGTCACCTCTGTCCAGTTGCTACCTGCAGCGTGGATCCCACACAGACGGAAGAGAACTGGGCACTGGTGCACTGGCTAGCGCTCTGATTGAGTCCCTGTGTGTTGAGGCTCGCTGAGGGGACAGTGGCAGCGCAGAGCCGGCAGGGGCGGTGTGTGTGGAGGTCACCTGGGACTCAGCACCTTCCATGACATAGAGCATCTGCTCCCGGCTGAGACAGGGTCTCATTATGTAGCCAAGGGTGGCCTCGAACTGGTGGTGATCCTCCTGCATCAGCCTCCCCAGTGCTGGGACCACTGCTGTGTGCCACCACGCCCGGTTCCTTCACCTTCCCTTTCCTCACTCTACCCAGGACCGCCAAGAATCTGCCTCCATAGGGAAGTGCACGTCCATGCCCACGTCTGTGTGTTTCAGCATGAGGGGTCAAGGAATTCACAGGCAGAGCTGCCTCCTGGACCTGCAGGGTCTGAAGCCCTAGGCTCTGTGGAGTCCAACCTCAATGCCACTTTGGCGTCCATTTCTTGTCTGTGGCTTCTTAGATACCTGGGCATCAGACCCTTTCTGCATAGGCCTGATGTTTAGACCTGCTGGGCAACCTGGCTTCCTCGTAGGCTGGAATACTGGTGTGAAGGCAGGAAGCAGTGCAGCCATTTTGGACACCAGAGGTCAACTGTGGAATGCTGAGGTGGCTAGACAGAGAGGGACTCAGTCCCAGTAGTCGAGCTGTAGTTGTGGCTCCAGGTGGGAAATAGGCCACCGTGCCACTTAGCTCTGACTGCATTTGGCTTACCTGGTTATGGTGGCCTAACCTGCACCGCAGTAGCCACACGTGGCACCACAGCACACCCATCGCCGCATTTCCGGTGGTCCAGCTTCTCTTCCCGCCTCACAGGCCTGCCTCCACCTCCCGCCTGAGCTGTCAATTTCATCTGCTGTCCCTGCTCCCTCCTCCCCTAGCAATCCTGCCCCTTCCTGCACCCAGAGCGTCGGTCCGTGGCCCAGCGTCGTGGACCTTGGCGTCCCCACACGTCGTGCTCTCCCTGCCTGTGGCCCTTGTGCCCCTGCTCCCTGGCTGGGGTGTCTTCTGCTGGCCATGCCTGGATCAGGACTGGGCCAGCCCGAGCCCCAGGAATGGGTCACCCCAAGCACAGTGTCCAGTCAGGCTGCCACCACCAAACACTCTGTTGTGTGAGTGCTGGGGATTCATGGTGACCACTGAGAAAGGCAGGCCCGGGGCTGTGGGTAGCCAGTGGCCGAGGGCAGTCACAGCAGAGCCCCAGAGTCGGCCAGGAGCCCTGCAGGGGGGTTCCAGCAAGCTGGCTTCAGTTTAACAGGAAGCAATTTTTTAAGAAAGAGAACTTTCTGTCTTGTCTTCCCACCAAGAACTGACCAGGACCTTTCTCTGTGCCTTTTTATTCTTTATTTTGAGACAAGGAAGGTATAGCTAAGTCACCAAGTTGATGGGGCTGGGCTTGAAAGTTTGATCCTCCTGCCTCAGCCTCTAGGAGCTGGTGTCACAGCTGTGCTGTACCATGCCTGCTTCCTGCCTAGCTTTTAGGGTTCTCTGAATACACTGCACCCCGAGCTGTGGCCCAGGACTGCTGTTCTCCTGAGTGCGTCCCTGTTCCAGGGGCTCACAGGTGGCAACACTTTGGTCATGGCAGCTCCGTGTCCCATACTGGGGGCGGGGGCAGTGCAAACAGTGCATAGTCCACAGACTGGGGCTCGACTCTGGCTCTGCTGTGGGGTGCGGGGCCTCGGGGAATTCAGTTCGCTGGCCTGGACTCAGTTTCCTTGTTTGTGAAACAGGTGATTACTCAGAGGGTCCTTTAATGGACCAGGGGCTCTTAATTCTGTGTGTGTGTGTGTGTGTGTGTGTGTGTGTGTGTATGACCTCCAAAAGGGACACCTGGCAATAACTTGGGATGGGAGACACAAGCAGCATTTTTTTAATTTTAATTTTTATTTTTTAGATAGTGTCTCACTATGCAGTTCAGGTTGGCCTTGAGCTCGCTTTGTAGCCCAGGCTGG